TAATAAATATTATTATGTGTATTATATATATATCCCAGTTTTATTTTAATTATCGATCGAGCCCGAATATATCGTAAGTATTGAACCGAGAAAACCGCGCCTAGCCCGTAGCCGACCCGCTATTTTGATTGGAGGAGCTAATTAATTAAAACCTAATCTAGATGCCTTAAGTATTGGGATTAAACCCCTAAGCTTGGCAGATAAAAATTCTTCCCGCAGCCTTACAATATCTCACATCTCTCTCATCTTTCCCCATCTCTCTCAATCTCTTCCCCTTTTTCCTCGTGGCAGCACCAAAGAATCCGGCCATCCCCCTCATCGTCATCTTCACCTCGCCCTCCATCACCATCATCGTCGAAGTCGCTGCCCTGCTCGCCTGCAACAGCCGTGTCACCACCGCAACGAGCCCTCCTTCGCAAGCCTCATCCGTCGCTGTCATCATATCCCTCCGCCTGCGAGCAGCCCCGACGGCGAGCCTCCCTCCACCTGTGAGCTCTCCTCCGGCAATCGCTGCACAGCGCCACCACGAGCCGCTGCTCCTCCCCCTCGCGCCGCCGTGACCAGACCACCTCCGGCGTTTCAAGTTTTGTTCGTTGCTTGTCGTTCGTGAGACCAGCATCCCCGGAGAGGAGAACCAGCGATTTCCATCCATCTCTGTTCGCGAGTTACAGTCCTGGAGAGAACCCCGTCGCAGCACCTTGTTCTGTCGTTCAAGTCCCAGGCCGCCGACCGAACCCCGATGTTCATGCGTTTCCCTTGTTGTCCATCGCCATCGGGCCTTGTTTATTTCTGTCCGGCACCCGAGCACTCGCGCCACCCGTCGGTGAACCGAGCTTTGCCGTCGAGCCCCGACGTGGTCCCGTGAGTGTGTTTCAGCCTTCTTTTCTCATTCTTTTTCCGAGGTCATCCCGAGAACGGTATTCTTTCGAGCCCGGACTGATTATTTGTTGCTCAATATTGTCAAATTGAAAATACGTAACTATTTAAGTGAAATCATAAGTTGTTATTGTCCTATCGTGTTTAATAAGACCGAGTTGGACCTCGGACAACGTGTTTTTGATATTTCGAATGTTTAAGTCTTAAAGAATTGATATCGAGGCTTGCTTAACGTGTGATTTATGTGGTTCCGAGACCATGTGGTTATGCGATTGCTTAAGTTGCTTTAAATGCATGAAAACCCAAATTCCGAGCCTCAGTTTGTGCTCTGTTTTTGTCGACCAATAAGCTGTTTCTTGGACAAGTGTTCTTCTTAAGTTTTGTAGTACTTTGAGTTAGGTTTCTGTGAGTTTTTGAATCTTGTAATTCGGAGTTGAAATGGATTTTATATGAATTTTCAAAATCAGACAAGCATGCTGTTTTGATAAACTCGGACAGAAATTTTGATCTCAATTCATTGTTGTTTTAGATGATCTTAACGTGCCTAAAAAAAAAATGTGTT